ACAGGAAAATCGACTAATCCGGAATCGAGCCGGGTAGGACCACAAGGGCGGCAAAGCTCTCCCTCAAGAATTTTAACACTGTTGCATTCTCAGGGCTCGAACACGAGACCATTAGTTAAGGTGGAAGAGACCCAAGTCATCTCATCCAAACGCTCTTGGGTTATTGAGATTCTCTTTTCATTATATGTGTTTATATATTTGTGTCATTTCCTTTTATGTTGTCTCTTTTAATATCTTGATGATCCCCTCTTACATCATTTCTTTATTTTCGGCGATTTCCTTTCATTTATTTCTCTTTATTAATCTCCAACAAATCTGAATTTTGGATTTTCTTTATGTCAACAACATAAAAGAGACTCAAATGCAAAATTGTATTGCACAAAAGTTCCCTACTTCCCTTAGTTTTCTCAATTCCTATTTCAAAAGAAGAATAAAAATGAATATTTAAATAAAAAATAAAAAAAAAAGTCATGACTAACTCGCTTTGCCCATTTTGATCTCAAATGAACTGCATATGAATGCCTTTATTAGGCCACCATGTCCATGACCACTTTATTTTTCCCTTTTGTCACTGTCAAGTTCCAACCACCCAACCAAAACAATGGCTGCACTAATAACTTCTTCTAAGTTGTAACATCTTCCATAGTCAAAAAAACTCCACACCATTTCTTTTCCATCCTCATCTTCAACTTTCACACAAACAATGGATTGGTTTTCTTGGCTATCAAGAAGCAATCTCGACCCGTCCGTCACGTACGAGTACGCCCTTGCTTTCGCCACCAACGAGCTCGACCGCGAAGACATACCTTATCTCGACCACGAGTTCCTCCAGAGCATGGGAATCTCGATCGCCAAACACCGCCTCGAGATCCTCAAGCTAGCGACGACGACCCACAAGAATAAAAACCGTGTTTCGATTCGTCCTGTCGTGTGGTTGAAGCTTGCCGTCAAGCAAACCAAGACCTACTTGAACGAGAAAATCGGCACCTTCTTCCACAATCGTCGTCAACCTCAAAACACCTTGCCTCTTTCGCTCGTCCCGAATAACAGGATCAACAGCATGAGATGGAAAGTGGCAATGTTGCAAAGAAACAGGAGGCTGCTGATGAAGCCAAATAATTGGCCAATTGTGCTAACAGACTACAATGGTAATAATTATGACGATGATGGTGATAATAAAAAGAGTATGATGATGCTGACAAATGGGAGCCCGAATAGGAGCTCGGGCTCGACTGGGAGCTCGGGCTGGCCCGAGTCGGAAGCGAACGGGGACGAGTCTGGTAATAGGTGGAACAGTAGCTTTTCAGGGGATGGAGAAAATTGGTCGAGTAGTATGGAGGATGTCAAGTGGGATACATTGTTCAAGAATTTGAAGCCCACATGAGTTAAGTAATTCATTTACTTTTTAGGTTTTTCTTTTTGTGTGTGTGTGTGTGTGTGTGTGTGTGTGTGCATATATCTGCATATTTTCTGTGCTGGAGTCAGTTTCTGGAAAATATATTTTGTAATAAGTATGTGCAGGGCATTTGGTTACTACAATGACCCCCAACTGCAAATTATTTCACCTTCATGAGAATCTTGATAAGTTATATTTTGATTTCTTTTGCAAGTATTTCATTAATAATTTAAGCAAAATATAAGTTTTAAGCATAAGAATGTACGTCTGGCTCAAGGTTTTAACTTTGAACAAGGGGACAAAAAAGGGTTGAAACGTTGATGTAAACGGTCGTCTGAGACAAAATCATGAACGTCGTCTCGCATAAAACATAGGAAAAAGCGAGTAGAAGCCCTGCAGGCCGATAAGAAGCAGCAGGCAAAGCA